GGGTTGGGTTTCCATGAGAATAATTCCTAGTGAAAGAAATAAGAATACATCCCAACCGTCGGATTAAACGATCTAACGAATACAAAAGATCCAGCTTTTATTTATTCATTAAGGGTATTTTAGACATTTTAATTACCAATTGTGGGACATGTGCCAACTAACACTCATCCACATCCAATGATATACTGCCATATGTCCACTAATACATCACACAAATCACACTCTTATCTTTCACACACTGACACACACATTGACTATTCAAAACACACTAACACACAATTACACACACATTTACACACGCAGCACACACAGAAAAACACACACACACACACCATCGCGACACACACAACACACACATCACTGGCGACAGCAAACACACAACGCCGCCGTCGGCAGTCACACAAAGTCGCCATCATGTTCGTCGCCGCCTCCGTCTTTCCGACCTGCCATCGCCACTGTCTCACCTTAGCCGCCGCCGCTCTGCCCTGCCATCGCCGCACCTCCTGTGAGTTTCCTCCGACTTCACCATTGTCGCTGACCGTCTCGGTTTGTCTTTGGCGACATTCCAACAACGACCAACCTTCGAATCCTATCAATACATAACTCTGTCGTTGCCCCTAATCATCTACGGCGACGTCCGTCTGCCGGTGTCGTTGCCCCTAATCATCTCCGGCGACTCTATTGTCGGACGCTCTGTCACCTCCTAGAGCTCGAACGACGTCATAGCATATTTGAGATGTGTGATATGGGATCTGAAATTTGATTGTTGGTTTGGGCCTCTTTTTTGAGAATTTGAATATGTCAAGGGACCTATTTGCAAATTTAACAATTTTAAGTATATTTTAATTTGACACATGTGTCAAATATGTAATTATTGAAAGTTAATAAAAAAATTATTTTATATACTTTGTTATCCATATATGTAGTAAATAAATTATTAAATAAAAATAGTATAAAAATATTTTGAATTAATAAATAAATTATATAATTAAAAAAATAATTAAAAAATAATTTAAGTCTTTAAATTAATTCAATGTACAATATTATATATTAAAAATAGTCTTCTAATACACATAGGTTAAGGTATACATTAGTGCACTTTATATAGAGGGGTGTTGCACTTTATAAGACAATACATTGCACCTTATCACCACGCTTTACAATTAATGTCTAACCGCTCCTTCCAAAATATTACGCAATATAAATATAAAAAAGGGATTACATAATACTTTAATATCAGTTACATCATCTATCCATAAACCAACACAAATATATTAACGTACCAAAATTTAAGTATTGCAGTATATATATATATATATATATATATATATATATATATATATATAGTGTTGCGCTCCGGTGAGAATGGTGCCCTAGGAAAGAAATAAGAATGAATCGTAGCCATTACATCGAATGATCTTATGACTAAAAAAAATGTCAGTATTATACACTCATTAAGGGTAGTGTAGTAATTTTCTATACCAAATCAATAAAATGGACCCCACTACACATTAACAAAACATACCCTACCCACGTTCCCAGGCCCCCACCCACATCAACCTGCATCACCCCACCCTACCCCACCCTCTCCCCACACTCTCTCTCACATACACATGCACACACACAACACACACACACACACACACACACACACTGGGAACACACACCACCACTATCGCGTGCATTCCCTCCGGCGGCTCAACCTTTGCCAGACCATAACCACCACTGCACCGCTGCTGGAGCATCCAACTAACGGCCAACCAAGCTTCTCCACTGTTGGTTTCCGGCTTCTTAGGCGGCAGCCGCCACAGACCACCACCCAATTGTAGAGTCCGACAACGATGGTCTGATGCAGATTCCATTCGCCAGATTCCGGCACCGCCGTCCGCCACCTATGTCCGAGGCTTCAAACACACCGCAACACCGCTGCGCCTTCATCCCTCAGGCGGCAGCCGCTTCAGGCCAATCTACTCCTACTGTTCAGGAGACGTTCGCGGCCAAGACACTTCTGCAATTGGCGATGTCCGGCGACACGGGAAGAGTGTGTGGGTAGATTAGGGATAGAAAAAACAAAATTGAAGGAATTTGGGACTGTAATGGGTGAGATTGTTTTTTGTGAATTAGATGATTTGGAGGGACCTAAGTGTAAATTAAAGAGTTCTAACTAAATTTCAATTGAATTCATGGACCAAATTTGTAATTTATAGAAAATATAATTAAAAAAATGTTATTTACTTATATAAAATCATATTTTTATACATAAAAAACCAAAACTACTATAAATTATTAAACAAAAGTACTATATTAAAAAGCTTTTGTTATTTTAATAATTCTGTTATTGTACCCAAAAAAAATAATATTCAATATATTTTTATAATATTAAATAATGAAATATTATTATTATTTAAGATTGGATTGCACATAAAAAAAAAAAAGAATTCACAATAAACAAATGAATATTAGTGATTATAGTATTGCACATTATTGTTATATCGATTGCACATTAATGCATTTGTGAATGTACAATACCATAAAAAGTATGTGTTTTCACATATATATTAATATTTTGATTATTTCAATTTGGATTCAACTTAATTTTCAAATAAACAAATTAATTAAAAAGCGCCATTATTTATTCTTCACAAACTATAACATAAAATATTGAACAAAAAGAGATTTATTAAATCTATTTTGTAGTATATAAGTTACTTGATCAATGCAAAATAATATTAATTAAAACACATTACTATTGAATGAACATATATAAAAAAATATAATCAATAAACTGCACAATAATATTGTAATGCACGTTATTGTCAACAGGGTTGCACTTTATTGTCTACGGTAGTAAACTTTATTGCTTTCACTATTCTATTATCATATTTTTCCAAACAGTAATAATGAAAATATTAAATATAAATATTAAAATACTAAATATATTTTCTCATAATATGAATAATAAATATTTATATTATTTATGAAAAATTGATTAATTAATCAAATAAATCGATTATTCTATTACAATTTTAGTTTGATTTGGAAAAAATAATTATAAAATGCATGTGATGCAATGCACAATAGTGTTATATAGATAATAACTATTATATTGCACAATATAGTCATAAATTGTTCTAAATACGATTTTCATTCTAAACATTTATATTTTATATCGAATATCTATTTCTACTTTTTAATATCAGTTAGTTTTGTTCGATGTCTAGATTAACTTTTAAAATAATGAAATAATCAAACTAACTGAACTATATAAAGTATTATTATTTTTATTATTATTATTATTATTATTATTATTATTATTATTATTATACATTTTTACGTATTTGTATTGCACAATACTGTTAGACAGATTGCACATAAACGACTATTAGATTGTACAGTAACGATCAAAATTGTTTAAATTAAAATTTTTAATTAATTATAAACGTGTCTCATGAACTTAATGGTAATAAAGTAATATCTCTACAATTGCAACTAGGTCCTTATATTTTATCAAATTCTCAATATAACAACCCCAATCCACAAACACCTTACAGCTGCCCCTGCCATACGAGTCGCCTCCGCCGGCGGCTGTGAACCGTCAGACGACACGTCGCCGCGATCTGCCTCGCCGGTGTTATGTCGGCGGGAAATTTGCAGAGGTCCCGTCGGCTACTCATTCTCTGTCCATTCCCGACGGGCTTTCTCGACTCGCAACCACCCGACTGTGTCCAGATGCGACTGAGCGTGGGCGATGGCCGATCTGTGTTGGACTGTTGAGGAGCGGTTGTGGTGGAGACTGCCGGCGGAGCTGTTCCGTGCTGTTGGGACAGAATGCGGCAGAGACGATATCCCCGATGGATCTGTGCCGATCTATTGGGGAGTTGGCAGAGAGACGATGTATGTGTTGGAGAAGACGACGGCCATCGACGGTGGCGGAAATCTGACGCGATTTTCCGGCGAGGTGTTACCATATTAACATTGAGATAGAGAGCGATGTGGTTGTGTCCGGCGGAGGTCAGGTGATGTAGAACGTGATACGAAAAGGGCCCTCTCGAGATACTCTCTCAAGAAGAATAGTAAAATTGAGATACTCTCTCAAAGAAAAGAACAGATAATTTTATTTCTCAAAACGTCAATGACTCTTCCCCATCATTCTCCACATATAAATAAGCAAAGGAATACTTATCTTGCCTAACAAGTTGCAAGATATTTTATTTCCTACTACATAATTAATAAATAAGGAAATGCATAAATCAAATAAAACACTAAAAGGAATAATACTAAATACGAAGCCGGTCAAATTTCTCCAAATAAGCTAAGGCGGTCTCGTCTCCATCATCCTCCCCCGGATGAGAAGGATTCGGCCGCGAATCCGAACCGGTCTCGTCTCCGTCGGAATTGTCCCCCGAAAAAGGCACCAAGTGCTTGACGTTAAAAACGTCAGAAGTGCGAATATGGGACGGAAGCCGTAAACGATAAGCATTGGGGTTGATCTTCTCAACCACCTCGATAGGACCAATCTTCCTGGCCGACAACTTACTATACTCGTGGGCCGTAAACCTATCCTTCGTCAGAACGGCCCAGACAAAGTCCCCCACCTCAAACTCCACATGTCGCCTCTTAGCATCCGCTTGTTTCTTGTAAGCCGCCGTGGTAGCCTCGAGTCGAGCCTTAGTTTTCGCGTGGATTGCCTGAAGCTCCTCAATGAAGTCGGCGGCGCGGCGGTCGGGTGCTGATGAAGAAGAGGGCAAAGCCACCAAGTCCGAGGGGCCGCGGGGACAAAAACCATACACTGTCTCAAAAGGGGACAACCCGGTGGCACGACTAAGTGCCGAGTTGTGGGCAAACTCAGCCTGGCTCAAACGTTGATCCCAACTCCGCAAGTTATCACCCACCAAGCAGCGCAATAAGTTACCCAGGGAACGATTGACCACCTCAGTCTGACCATCGGTCTGAGGATGATAAGCACTGCTGAAGTCCAGCCGAGTATTCGCCATGCGCCAGAGGCTGCGCCAAAAGTGGCTCAGAAAACGGGTATCGCGATCGGAAACAATGGACGAAGGAAGTCCATGCAAACGATATATCTCCCGGAAGAATAACTGAGCCACGTGAACCGCGTCGGTGGTGCGCTTGCATGGAACAAAGTGGACCATCTTGGAGAAGCGATCAACGATCACAAAAATAGAATCGAAACCCCGCTGAGTACGCGGTAACCCAAGGACAAAATCCATACTAATGGCGCTCCACGGCTGGGACGGAACAGGAAGCGGCCGGTATAAACCGGCATTCGACGCAACTCCCTTGGAAACATGACAAACGCGGCAACGTGCCACAAACCTAGACACATCGCGCCGAAGAGAGGGCCAGAAATACGAACGACTGACGAGTTCCACCGACCGATCTCGGCCCACATGACCCCCTCCATGGATCTCCGCAATAAGCTTGTGGCGCAGACTACAGTCCGGAATACAGAGCCGAATACCCCGGAATAAAAATCCATCAGACAACGAATAATCCTCAAAAGGTCCACTGGCAAGGCGACGCAGAATGGGTCCAAAAAATGCATCATCAACATAGGTATCGCGCAAAACATCAAATCCCACCACTGAAATGCGCATATCTGATATCAACAGGGAGCGTCGACTAAGCGCGTCCGCCACTCTGTTAGACGCGCCCGACCGATGTCGTAGAACAAATGTGAACTGTTGGAGAAAAGCAGTCCACGAGGCATGGCGGGCAGAAATATTATCCTGAGAGGCCAAGTGTCGCAAAGCCTCATGATCGGTGAAGAGAATAAACTCCCGATGAAACAAGTAATGTCGCCAATGACGAACCGCCTGAACGATGGCATAAAACTCAACATCGTATGTGCTATAACGAGTCCGAGGGCCAGAGAGCTTCTGACTAAAGAAAGAGACAGGTCGACCCTCCTGGCTAAGGACCGCGCCGATGCCGACCTTGGACGCATCACAAGACAGCTCAAACGGCCGCGTAAAATCAGGAAGAACGAGGACCGGAGCCGAGGTCAACTTCTGCTTAATCAATGCGAAAGCATCGGCAGCTGCCGGCGTCCAAACAAAAGACGCCCCATGGAGACAATCAGTGATCGGGGCTGTGATAGTACTAAAGTGAGAAATAAAGCGCCGATAGAAAGAGGCAAGACCGTGAAAGCTCCGTGCCTCGGTAAAGGAAGTCGGAGTTGGCCAATCACGAATGGCAGCCACCTTGCCGTCGTCAACACGAATGCCCTCTGCCGAAATCACAAATCCCAAAAACAACACAGAAGAGGCCAAGAATATGCATTTATGAGGTGCAGCAAAAAAGGACTCGGTACGCAAAACAAGTAATACCTCTCGAACATGTTGGAGATGCTCCTCCAAGGAACGGCTGTAAATGAGAATATCGTCAAAGTAAACGACGACACTGCGACCGATAAAATCCCGTAGCGCCTGATTCATCACTCGCATGAACGTACTAGGAGCATTAGACAAACCGAATGGCATGACCATCCACTCAAACAGACCCTCTCGGATTTTGAATGCCGTCTTCCATTCATCCCCTGGGCGAATCCGAATCTGATGATAGCCACTACGTAAATCCAGCTTAGTAAAAATATTGGCACCATTAAGCTGATCCAGCAAATCGTCCAATCGAGGAATAGGAAATCGGTAACGGACTGTGATCTTGTTAATCGCTCGACTGTCCACACACATCCGCCACGAATCGTCTTTCTTTGGTATCAAGAGGGCCGGAACTGCACAAGGACTCAAACTGCGACGTACGGCCCCACGTTGAATAAGCTCCTCGACCTGGCGGCGCAATTCTTCATGTTCAGTCGGGCTCATCCTGTAATGAGGACGATTAGGTAAGGAAGCTCCTGGAACAAGATCAATACAGTGCTGAATGTCCCGAAGTGGTGGTAAGCCCGACGGGAGTTCCTCCGGGAAGACATCAGCAAATTCAGACAATAAAGGTCGAATGGCCAGTGGAATAGCGCTATCCGTCGTGGCATCAGTCCCCACCAATAATAACACAATAGAAGAATCCCGAAGCGCCGTAGCAAAAGCAGAGTGCGAAAGCAAGAGGACCGAAGGGGCAGCACTCATCGGAGGCAAGTCTCGTGGTGGAGTAGGCAGCAAGGTAATCTTTATCCCACCAAACAGAAAAGAATATGTGTTCCGCCGGCCATCATGAGTAGCTGCTCTGTCAAACTGCCAAGGGCGGCCCAAAAGTAAATGACAAGCGTCCATCGGTACCACGTCACACCAGACTTGATCACGATAGGTCGGCCCGATGGAAAAAGAAATCAGTGCACGCTTGTCCACCGTCACCGCACTCCCTCGCTGGATCCACGCCAAAGTGTAGGGTTGTGGATGGGGCTCACAAGAAAGACCCAATTTGTCCACAGCTTCCTGCGAAATAACATTTTCACAAGCACCAGAATCAATTATGAAGCGACAAATTTTGTTACCCATAGTGCAAGTCGACTCAAAAAGGTGGTTGCGCTCGGTTGATACGTCGTTGGAACTCCTCGGGGTGAGACATGTGCGGCGAAGAACCAATACCGATCCAATAGTATCACCACGTACAGTTTGTTCCACTTCACCCACTTCGGTATCATACACCGGCGCACCCTCATAGTCCACCAGAGTCTCATACTCACCACCTTCCTCCGTAAAAAGAGCCCGAGACCCTGTACCTTTCGGACATGCCGATTGGCGGTGCCCCATTTCTCCACACGCAAAACACCGTAATCCTGCCACAGCCCGCGGAAGGTTCGTCGACGGTGGCTGCCCCGCGGACCCACCACCTTGTGAAGACGTCCCAGCCCCGGTCGGAAAACGGCTCGCCACAGCCCCATGCGTCGGAATAGGCTGCGATGCCGGCAAGGAGCGCATCTGCTGTCGCGAAGATGAACCGAAAGTTGGGCCTGCCTTCGGACCCTGCTGCAACTTGATCAACACGGCCCGTTGATGTGCGTCAGAGACCGTGTCGGGCCGAAAAAGATTCAACGTCTCCCGTATATTAGCCCGTAAACCACTAACGTAACGTGCCACAATCTGGTGCCGAGGTTCAGAAATTTCCACACGAGTAAGCAAGCGATAAAAGTCCTGAGTATAATCATCCACCGATCTCACGCCCTGACGTAAATTATGCAATTGTTGGTAAACGATACTATCGTAGTTGTAAGGCACGAATTCACGTTCTACCACTTCACGAAATTTGATCCACGACGTCAATCGTGGTTTCCCCTGACGATGCCGCAAACTCGTCAACTGCATCCACCACGTCGCCGCACGACCACGAAAGCGAGTGGCCACCAAATCTACACGCCGATCCTCCGGCACATCTCTGAACCGAAGAACCGCCTCAACCGTGGCCCACCAATCGAGAAAATCCGCCCCATCAACACCTCCTGTAAATTCCGGAATGTCGACACGAAACCCTAAGTCTCCACGTGAGTCATCGCCACCTCCAATCGGGCGCCTGCCATCACGTCGAGCCTGTCCACCACAAACCGCCGCATCGCGGTCCCCTGCCCTTCGCCGCCGCGGGTGAACGATTTCCTCATTCTGCCAGTCACGCCGAGGGAAATCATCATCACCGAAGTCGGGCCTCTGGTCAGCATCTTCATCACGCCAATCGCCGCCGCGTGGAAACCCTAGGGGACGCCGCCTGGGATCGCCACCCCCTGCCGGTTCCTCATCGCTGTCAAAGAACCCTCCATCGCGCTGAAACCCTAGGTGCCGTCTCCGCGGAATCCTCCCTTCGTCCAGTACACGCGGGTTGCGAGGATAATTGTCGCCTCTATCATCGCCTCTGTCCCCGTCCGGCCGACGACGGAAATTCTGGGCGAACGGATTCTCCACGCTCACAGTGTCCTCGTCTTCTTCCTCGCCGGTCGGAGTCACGGGTGAACGGTGACGGGGCGCCCCGCCATGGCCTCGTCCACCTCGGCCTCCGCGAACCCCGCCGCGGCCACCCCGGTCACCGGTGTCGCGGATCGTACGAAATTCATCCATCAAGGTATGCATAGCCCGGCGTATGTCCTCAATCCCCGTCGACATCTCGGTAAAGCGATCATCAACTCCTTGAAAGCGATCCTCCATCCTCTGGAGTCGTTCATCCACAGAAGCATCGTATCCGGCATTACCTTTCTTCGGCGGCATCGTGGATCGTCTGCTGGTCTCTGGATACCAACTGATGTAGAACGTGATACGAAAAGGGCCCTCTCGAGATACTCTCTCAAGAAGAATAGTAAAATTGAGATACTCTCTCAAAGAAAAGAACAGATAATTTTATTTCTCAAAACGTCAATGACTCTTCCCCATCATTCTCCACATATAAATAAGCAAAGGAATACTTATCTTGCCTAACAAGTTGCAAGATATTTTATTTCCTACTACATAATTAATAAATAAGGAAATGCATAAATCAAATAAAACACTAAAAGGAATAATACTAAATACGAAGCCGGTCAAATTTCTCCAAATAAGCTAAGGCGGTCTCGTCTCCATCATCAGGGATGTCGAGAGGCGAGTTGGTTGCAGCGCGGCGGCTCCTGGTGGTCCGACACTTCACAATGCGTGTGTGTGGTCTGTAATTTTTGTGTGTGTTTGTGTGTGTAAGAGGATGAGGGAGGGGGTAGGTGGGTTGGTAAGTTGGAGGAATTAATGTGATAGTGGTGGGTCCCACATATTGATAAGAATGAATTAAATGTCCAGGTTACCTTTAATTATTAGTCAAATGCACATATTTGACCCAACATGATCAAATAATTACCACATTGCCATTAATGATTGGTCCTATTTTGACTTCATCTTAACCATTGATATGGTGTATCCAATGCACCAGATTTATTCTTATTTCTTTCCTAAAACACCATTTTCATATGGTCCTAACTATATATATATATATATAGGGATTGGATCCAATGAGTACACATATTTAAAGTGTGAATGCGAGACTCATTCCTAGCCATTAGATTGATACATTATGTGTGGCTAAGATTAACTCTTCAATTAAATAATAATTCTTTATTTTTATTACTTATTTCTTTATTTTATTATTTTAATTATTTAAATATTATTTTGACAATTGACCATTGACTCGACGTTGACTGTTGACTCCGGCGTTGACCGTTGACTTCCGGCGTTGACTTCCGGCGAAAATCGTTGACTTCCAGCGTTGACCCTTGACTTTCGACGTTGACCGTTGACTTCCGTCGTTGACTTTCAACATTGACCTTTGACCCTTAGCATGCATTGTGTATGAAGTAAATATGCATCAGTACTATGCACTTAGTATGAACTAAATATGCATCATAAATGAATTATATATGTTATCCTTATGAACTAAATATGCACAAGTAATATCAACTATGTATGCACTGTTTATGTACTAAATATGCATATTTTACTAATTAAATATGCATCAGGAATGAACTAAATATGCAACGAAAATATGCAATAAAATATACATTTTATACAATTAAATTAAATATAATAATTAATGATTTTTATTATGTAATGAACTTTAATTTTAAATTGATTAATAACACAAATAAATTGTTATGATTGGATCTCAAATAAAATAGGTATGCATTGTTCATGAATTAAATATGCATTTCGTAAGAACTAAATATGTATCATGAATTAAGTAAATATGCATAATAAATTAATTATATAAATATTATTATATATTTAATTTAAATATAACAAGTATGCATTTCGTATTAACTAAATATGCATCATAAATTACCTAAATATTCATAATAAATTAACTAAATATGCATCATAAATTACCTATATACAATGTACATTTTATACAATTAAATTAAATATAATAATTAATGATTTTTATTATATAACGAATTTTAATTTTAAATTGATTAATAACACAAATAAATTGTTA